AGCATTATCTTTATAAGTAGTGTCATGCCAATTGAGCTAGATGTTCCCCGAGACCATGGTCCCCAGAGCCCTCCGTCCAGCAACTCAGTCCCTCGGGGTGTTCCCTTGTTTATAGTCAACTTCCTCACTAGAACAGAAGCCCCACGCTCCACTGTTCACTGCAGAATTCCCAGGGCCTGGCACATTTTGAGCCTCAATACGAATTTGATAAATGGATAAAGGATGAGCAGACCTTCACTCTACCTCAGAGATGTTTGTTCCAAAGCTTCTCCTGCTAGGAGCTTTTGATCCCTGTGGCACTACCCACGGGCACTAAAGGACCCCTGCCTTTCTTAAGCTCTGGACACGCAGGTCACTCCACCACATCCAACATCAATAGGTTAAACAAACCCCAGAATTCCAAAGATCTCATATTTCAATCTGGCAAAAGGCAAAACATCCTAAAATAGAAGGACAACAGGCTTTCACCAGGTGGCTCTGTGGAGCAGACAAGGAAATGCAGGTCAGAATGCTGTGACAGTGCTTAATCTTAGCACGGAAAGACTCCAGACCCTCCAGTCTCAAGAAAACCCAGCATATAATTCTAATGCCCTCTGATGCCACTCCAACACAGACAACCCTCCCAGGCACTGAATCCCTATCTCCAGTTGGAGATTTCCACCTACAAGTCCCATATATACCTCACATTCAGATAATCAGACTGAACTCTTTACCCTTCCCCCCCTCCTCCTGCATTCCTTTCTCCTAGAAATAACTCCACCGTCTACCCATCAGACCAGACAGGAAAGCCATCCTTCCCTCATCTCATAAATCCAATCGGTTACCATTCTGTCTCCTAAACCCCTTTGGGATTAGTCACCTCCCCTTTATCAGCACTGCTACTGACTTGACCCAGCCCTCATCATTTCTCACGTAGCATCTGTACTGAGCTCTGCCAACAGCCTCCTCTGCATCCAGCCTATTGTTCACCCATCATCCAAGTAAAATGTCTAACTCACAAATCTGATCACATCCCTCCTCTGCTTAAACAACTGCAAAGGCTCTCCATCACCTTCTGAATAATGTCCAAACTGCAAGCAACTCATACCATGCCTTTTATGATCTGGTCCCTGCCTACATCTGCGACCTCATCACTCACCACAGGCCCTTTATGCCTCTGAGGTTCTAGTCAGGTTCTCCCTCATCTCTGAGCCCTTGTTCATATTGGTCTGTTTCCCTGAACACGATTCACCTTTCCTCCATCTGATAACTCTTCTTCATCGCTTAAGGAGAAACTCAGGAACCTGTGCTACTTGGAAGCATTTCCTGACTAGTCCTTAGCTGACTGCAGCCAGAGTTTAGAACCAGGTACACTCAGGTGGGAACCCCTGCTGAGAATTTGCATTTCTAACAAGTTCCCAGTCAATGTTAATGCTGCTGGTTAGGGACCAATTCTGAGAACCACTAGTAGAGCAATAGTTCTCAAAATTTACTATACACAAGAATCACCTGGGGGATCTTGTTAAAATGTAGATTCTGATTCAGTATATCTGGCATGGAAATGCAAATTCTCAGCACAGGTTTGAACTGTAATGGCTATCCTTCCCCTAAATTGCCATAACCCTTTGAACACACTCCCACTACAGCATTTCTACTGAATTATGATACAGCAAAGGGCTAAGAGTGTAGGTTCTGGAGCCTGACTGCCTGCTCTCAGCCCCAGTTCTGTCTCTTATTAGCTATGTAATCTCAGCAAGTAAGCTTAGCAGCTCTCTTTGTAAAATGGGGATAACAATGTATTCATCATAGATTGTCATGACATAATCACCCAAACTGCTTCGGTCAGACCAGGCATATAGCAAATGCTCTGTAAGTGATAACTAGCATGGACTAGTTGTTTACAGACTGTTAGAAAAACCAGTTTCAATAATTACTCACAACTTACAAGTAAACTTGAGCCTTTAGTATTACATACTTTCATTTATATAGTAGATTTCATCTCAAATGCTAAATAATCTTAACGTTTTTCTTCAAGGAATTTTTAAGCTACAGAGAGGCTAATAAAAGTTTTATTCTAATAACAAATTATTTTCTGGTCATAATAAAACCTCACAAAAGATGGCTTATTCTTTGGAAAGTTGCAGATCCAAAGACATAAGAACAGACTCCACCAACTGAGAGGCGGTGAGCCAGAGCCTAGCAGGGGCTAACTTACAGATGGACTGTAAGCTCCATGAAGGAGGAATCTTGCTCTTTGCTCTATCCCCAGCCCTTTGCCTGGCCCCTGTGGGGTACCCAATAAATATCTGCAGAATAAATTAATGAAGCCTCCCTCACCACGACACAATCTGAGTCAGTGGCTGAGCATTTTGTCTTTTAAGATTATCCTGTCCAAAATGAATAGTAAATCACGATCACCAACCCAAGACTTCCCTCGGGCAGGCCCCAAACCTCGCAAATCTGCTTGAGCGACTTGGTCCTCTGCTCCCAGACCCCTACCTTGGCTGGGTTAGTCAAGACTTCCCTCATGTACTCAGCCACAGTGATGGGGCCAGTAGACTTGATTTTGTACATAAGATGCCGCAACATCGGAGTCACCGGGCTGTTTTCTCCAAGCTCTTTCCCGGAGCTGAAGCATTTCCCTCTCCAAAGACAGGGAATGACTATGAAAAAACAAACACATCAAACAGAAGCCATTAAAAATTATGAGTATTTACATGTGCAAGGTAGCCTGAATGCTTTCAAAGCAGCTTCGTTAAACCTTAATCATGCCCCAACCCAGGAGCGCTAAATGACGTCGAGCCCACCCCAAAGAGGCGCGGGAAGGCGAGCACTGCCAACGACCACACAGCCATCACGTGTCAACCCGGAGAACCTTCAGCTCCAAGGGAACCCCCGAACCCCGAGCAGGGGCTCCAAGGAAGACGCCCGGGGCAGTTGCCACGGCAGCCGAGCTCTGGCGGCGCGGACGCCTACCCGCGCGCGCCGCGGCGCACAGTGTCCCCACACCAGTCCTCAAGAGGACACTCATGGCGAACACCACACACCACCCTAGCCAACTCGGGGGCGGGGACTGTAGCCATTTCCGGAAGACGGAAACTCCCCCCACCCCCAACACGCACGGGGAAGTACGTCACTCGGCCAAACGGAAGGAAGTTCCTGACTCTACGCGCGTGCTTTTCTTTCCATGGCTGCAGCTAAGAAGCCATTGGAGTTCCATGCCAAGAGGCCCTGGGGCCCGGAGAAGGCGGTAGAAGATCCGGACGAGGACGATGAGGATGATAACGATGAAGCCGAGAGTGGGTTCTCCCTGGAGGAAGTGTTACGGCTCGGAGGCACCAAGGTAATGGCCGCGGGCTTTCAGGGCCGTCGGGGAGAAGGGGACGGAAAGGGAGGGCTCTCCGGACCCAGACTGCAGCTTCGGAACGTGCTTTGTACGCTTCCTGAACTCTTCTTTTCTACTGATCTTAGCAGAAGAAATGTAGTTTTGGATTGGCCTTTCTTAGGGTGTAGGTAGTTCTCATTTTATTGACGTGGTGTAGCCATCACTCCGTCAAATCGGAGAGAACTCGTCCTGACCTCGTGGCATCAGTGTTTTGGACTCCAGTGGTGTGGGAATTTAAATTTGTTCTCATAGGTACACGAACATGCTCACTCTACGTTTAAGAAACCGTATGCTCTCTTGGAATTTACATTTTAGTTAAAAGAGAAATAGTAAACAGACTGTTGATGCTGAGTAGTGCTATAGAGAACAATAAAACAAGGAGAGGGGGATGGGGAAGGCATCGCTGAGATGTTTGAGCAGAAACCTGAAGGAGAGGAAGGAATGAGCCATGTGGCATCCAGTCAGATGGAGCAGCAAATGCATAAAGTCTGAGGCAGGAGTGTGCCTGACCTATTCCATGAACAGCAAAAGTGTGATTGAGACAGTAAGGTAAGGGGAGGGTAGTAAGAGCTGAGATCAGAGAAGAAAGTAGGCTTTTGCTGTTAATTAGATGAGAAACTATTGGAAGATTTTGAGCAAATACATGGCAGCATTTGACTTATAGTTTAAAATACTATTTTGGTTTGAGACTAGACTTTGTGGGATTAGAGGCAGGAGAAATGCAAACTACAGGGGCAGACTCAGCAGTCTGTTCTGTACATGCACATGATACAAACTTTAAAAGGTTTGAGAAAGGGGGTGGAGAGTACTTAGTGGAAAGTTTTCTTTCGCATTCCTATCTCCAGCTATCCAGTTTCCCTTCCAGGAAGTAATAACTTTTACAAGCGTCTCTTGTATCTTTCAGGGTTATTCTATACATTTCCAAGTCCATGTATATATATACACATATATACACACACACACACGTATATGTACAAAAGTTTTATATGTTACTTTTTTGTACAAATGGTACCATGTTATATGTATGCTATTTTGTATCTTTGTTGTTACTGTTTTAGAGATCCTTCCATATCAGTTCGTAAACATCTGTGTCATTTGTTTATAAGTGCATAAATCATTGTGTTTGTGTTAATTCATCTAACTAGTCATTTATTATGGATATTTAAGTTGTTGCTAGTCTTGCTATTTCAAATACGTAAACATTTTTTTCCACATTTGTAAGTGGAAGTTAATTGTGTAGAAATAGGACTAACTGTTGGATCAAAGGATATGTGCCTTGTAATTTTGATTGAAGTTGGCAAACTGCCCTCCCTAAAGGTTGTGCCAGTTTACACTGCTGTCAGCAATGTACAAGCATACCTTTTTCCCTCATCCTCACCCTAACATCAGGTGTCGTAATTTTATTTTTCTCATCTGGTAGATTAAAAAATGGATGTATCATTGTGGTTTTAATTTGGATTTCTCTAAATGTCAGTGAGGTTGAACATGTTTTCACATTTTTAAAGAACCGTTTTTTTCTGTGAAGTGTTCATATCCTTTGCACACTTTTCTGTTGGGTTATTGGTCATTTTCTTACTTGGTGTGGAGAAACTTTTATATTAAGGTGCATTAAGCTCAACTACTATGGTACAAGTTGAAATTTGTATATGTTTTAAATGAGAAAGAATGATACATTTACCAATCCTTTTCTTTTTGGGCCCTGAGTTTTATGTCAAATTTGGTACGATTTTCTCAACACTGAAATAAATTATTTTTTAATATTTTATGGTTTTACTTTTGACATTTTAATCTTTGATCCATCAAGTATTTACCTTGGTGTAGGGTGGGATCCCAGGCAATACCATGATGACCCAATTTAATTGATTGCAAAGATACAAAATTCAAATTAATTTTTGAAGTTTAAACTGTTGGATATGTGATATATTTTTAACTTCTTTATGTTTTTATGCAGCAAGATTACCTTATGTTGGCTACTTTGGATGAGAATGAGGAATTGGTGGATGGAGGCAAAAAAGGAGCAATTGATGATCTTCAACAGGGAGAACTGGAAGCATTTATTCAAAATCTTAGTTTGGCCAAGTATGCAAAAACTTTCTTAACTGAAGAAGATGGTGAACCATCTAAAAAAGAAAATGCCGGCAAAAAGGAAGCAAAAGTGTCTAAAATAGATAATAAAAAGCAAAACACAGCAGAAAGTGACAGGACATCAGTCAGTAAGATCAAAAATAAGAAGAGACCAGAACAACTTCCTGATGAGAACAGCACCATATCAAAAGTAAAGAAGGATAAGCAAGAGGACATCTTTGAATATTCTGAGAGACAGACATTGTTACTCAAACCTGGGGGCAAATGGTACGATCTGGAGTACACCAGTGAATACTCTTTGGAACTCCAGCCTCGGGATGTTGTGTCTAAGTATAAAACCTTGGCTCAGAAGTTGTATGAGCACGAAATCAACTTATTCAAAAGTAAGACAAATAATCAAAAGGGAGGCTCTTCCACCTGGATGAAGGCAATAGTGTCATCAGGGACCCTAGGCGACAGGATGGCTGCCATGATTCTTCTTATTCAGGATGATGCTGTTCACACGCTCCAGTTTGTAGACACTCTCTTGAACCTCGTTAAAAAGAAGGGCAGCAAACAGCAGTGCCTCATGGCTTTGGATACTTTCAAAGAGCTACTCATTACAGACCTTTTGCCAGACAGTCGAAAGCTGCGGATTTTCAGCCAGCATCCTTTCAACAAACTAAAAGAGTTGTCCAGTGGCAACAAGGACTCAAGAGATAGAAGACTGATATTATGGTATTTTGAGCACCAGCTGAAACACTTAGTGGCTGAATTTGTGCACGTCTTGGAAACTTTAAGTCATGACTCATTAGTAGCCACTAAAACTCGAGCTCTGACAGTGGCTCATGAGCTTCTTTGTAACAAACCTGAGGAAGAAAAAGCTCTTCTTGTGCAGGTGGTAAATAAACTGGGAGATCCTCAGAACAGAATAGCCACAAAAGCCTCCCATCTCTTAGAGACATTACTTTCTAAGCATCCCAATATGAAAGGAGTTGTGTGTAGTGAAGTAGAAAGGCTACTCTTTCGCTCAAATATCAGCCCCAAAGCTCAGTATTATGCAATTTGCTTTTTAAATCAAATGACCCTCTCCCATGAAGAAAGTGAATTGGCTAATAAATTAATAACTCTTTATTTTTGTTTTTTTCGGACTTGTATCAAGAAAAAAGATATTGAGTCAAAAATGCTCAGTGCACTTTTAACAGGAGTAAATAGGGCATATCCTTATTCCCAGACTGGTGATGACAAAGTGAGGGAGCAGCTTGACACGCTGTTTAAAGTGTTGCATATAGTAAATTTCAACACCAGTGTGCAGGCTTTGATGTTGCTGTTCCAAGTAATGAATTCTCAACAGACAATATCCGATCGATACTATGCAGCATTATACAGGTAAGTCCATGCTATTCCAGTATACGAGTGTGAGGAATGACCTGATCTAATAGAGCACGTGGGCTCCCTGGGTGGTGCAAACAGTTAATGCATTTGGCAGCTAATTGGAAGGTTGGAGGTTCAAGTCCACATAGAGGTGCCTTGGAAGAAAGGCCTGGTGATCTGCTTCCAAAAAAGCAGCCATCGAAAACCCTATGGAGCACAGTTCTACTCAGACACATGTGGCGTCCCCATGGGTTGGAATCGACATGACAGCAGCTGGTTAGTATAGCACATGCAGTACCTGTCTATGGGGCAAGAGAAAGGGTTAGAAAAACGAATTCAGCCCCCTCCCCGTTTTCCACCAGCAGTTTACTACTCATCACCTTTCAGTAAGTCACTTAATCTGTTTCTCTGTTGGCACAAACTGTGTTAGATACTTAGAATATATTTTGTTTTGGATTTTTTTCTTTTTTGAAAAGTTAGCATATAGAAAAATATAAAAATGTAACAAGCATCCATGTCTTACCATCTGATATTTCAAAATTAACATTTTGCTATATGTGTTTTAATTCTTTGGGGATATTATAGAAATGAAATTACAGGCATAACTGAAGTCACCTTATCCCCTTTTTCCTTGGTCCTATGTCTCCTCCCTCCTGTCCTCCATACAACCATTCAGTAATTTATTCAACAACTATTTTTTGAGTGCTTACCATACGCTACACACTGTTCCAGGTGCTCAGGATATTGCACAGTGAGTAGAAATTCCTCCCCAGAGGTGCTTACATTCTAATTGGGGAAGACAGATGGAAAACAAGAAAGTAAAATAGAAAAGTACTTTAGATAGGAAATGTTGAGGATTGCAATTTTAGATTTTTTTCAGCATTGGAATTAAGATTTTGTTTCTAGAACTTTGCAACTGTCTTGCAACTCACCCACTGAAGGGTCATATCCTGAACAGTGTAAACAGTATAGAAGCCAACAAGCTATCTTCAGGAATTTAATGTATTTCCTCCTAATCCATTTTCATAATTCTATATGCATATATCTTGTGAGAAACTGTAATGTAGAGGTTAACATTGGGCTTAAGCTACACTGCCTGGGTTT